ACACATTTGCCATACAGAACATCCCACAGCAATATACTGTTGAAATAGCACATGTCAGGGGAACTGCCCACCCCAGTCTCCAACCTAGAGCTTCTTCATAATCATATACAGCATGAACAAATGGCCTAGGAAACACAAAGGGTTTACTTAAAGAATCTCCAAATAATTCCAAAGAGCTGCAATGCCAAAAATCACCAAAGTGTGTGAAAGCAGTTTGTGAAGGGCAGGAGCTCATCCTTAGTGAGTTTTGTTAAGATCAGATGACACATCTATCTGTTTCTGGTCTTTGTGGAGCTTTCAAGTACTACACATAACTAAGAACACAATGTAGGGGGAGGAAGACTCTAGAGGTCACTGTCACAGCTGTAGTGGTTATGTATGTATGGGTCACAGAGGACTTTAGAAGTAGGAGACTTGTGGGCAACTGAGCAAAGAACAGTACCTAGTTTCAGGCTCTAAATGGAGTCCTGGTCTGTCTGATGCACAACTACCTTTAGCAGCAGCTCCAGCCCAGGGCTGGCCAGGAACTGAGCAGTTGATGGCCATGACTATATGATCAAATCTTCCTTTGGCTTCCCTAAGATGGGTGGTTGTTAAGATTTCTAATGGATGCCATGTTTGGGATCTGGCTGGTGGTTTGTCATACAGGGAGTTCTTAGAAAGGGAAACTCTAGGGAAGAGAACCCTTTCTTTTTAAAGAGGTTCAAGTGTTTGGAGAATTGTTTGGTCCTATAGATCTTTTGGAGTTTTCCACACCCTGTTCTTCTAGTTCCAGGATTCTGGGAGGAACTGGGATCCTCTTATTGGGGCTCCCAATCCTTAATGTCTTTCAGATTAAAGTGCTCAGCTTTTGGGCACTACAATACCCTGAACTCTTGATGGTTAAGTTCACTGAACTCAGCAGGCCTGGACCTGGACATGGCTCTATAGGGCAAGCAGTTCTTCCAGCCTCAGGAAGGTGGGACCATGGCTATTTCCAGGGTGTTAGAAAGATACACAACCCCACAGTTGGCAGTGGCATGAGAGACTCAACACTAGGAAGATGCTGTCTCTTGCTTAGAGGGACTGGCCAGTCCACTAGTTTGCTGGGTGCTGGAAGGGGAGTTGCCTTAAAGTCACAGCAGATGTCCTCTAGAATTCATTTTGGTGAATTCCTCCCATAGTGAAGCCTTTCCTCCCAGCTTGTAAATATCCTCTTACTCTTTCAAGAAAATAAACTTCTAGTTTCTCTACAGGGGAGGGATCATTCTCCAGTTGTGGTTGGGACCTGGGGGTCTGCAGCTTCTGAAAACATTTGCCAAGATCATCTTTGTTTGAACACTAGCACATTTCCAGAAGAACCTAGTGCTGCCAGTTCTTGGGGTGGGGGTGGGTGATTTAAAGGCTAGATTTTGTTGGTTCTGAGCTTCCTATACTCTGGCTAGAATTCAGCATTTTGTGGCATTTGTCTCCCATTGAAAAGCTTTCTGGCCTCTGAAAACATTATTGCCTCCTCTCCCACATCCCAATCCCTGAAAATTTATGCCTTAAAAGCTGTTATTTAAGCTGGGTGGTAGTGGCACATGCCTTAATCCCAGAATTTGGGAGGCAGAGGCAGGTGAATTTCAGTGAGTTCCAGGCCAGCTTGGTCTACAGAATGAGTTCCAGGGCTTACACAGAGAAACCTTGTTTGGAAAAACCAAAACCAAACAATCAAACAAAGCTGTTATTTAGATGAGTTTTGAAAGGGAATGAAAAAAAGTACATTTGAACATCTGCACTCTCTCTCTCCAACTGAATGCTGTGCTCAAGGTCACCAGCAAGAGACTGCTCCCTATACAGAGATGGATCATTTCAGTATGGGATCGGCACCTCCATGACTGACTGGAGCCTCAGGCTTAGGAGGACTTGCCCATTAACTACTTATAAGTGGCCCACTGGGGGCTGATATAGCACAGGTATGAAAGGGTTCCTACTTAGCTGATTGTGGGCCTTATAATGAAGATGGAATCTACTACTCAGGGGTTGCAATCTCTATGCTGTTCCCTTTGCTATGCCTAAAAGGAGGTAGAGTGTGGACTTTGTCAATAAGAGCTTCAGAATAAGTTAAAGATAGAACCCACAGCACCATGATTGTGGATGTCTCAGCCAGTCCAAGGATGCTGACTTGACAGAGCACTGCTCCAGGTTGTTCTTCCTAGATTCTCCTGTAGTCCCTGCCTCAACTGCCTTCTCTCAGTGTCTGTAATATGCAGACAAGCCAGAGTGCTGACTTATCTGAAGCCTGACTGCTCTTTCTTCCCCTCTTACACCCTAGTTGACCTTTAGTGCTGCTCCTTGGGGGTTTTTCCCAGCCCACATTTGGCTGATGTCTGCAGTTCAGTGGAGAACTCCACGTATCTCCCAAGGCTATTTATCTCAGTCTGACACCTTCTGGGGTTCTACTTGGACATTTCACACCTCCAGTGACTAGGGAAGCCCACTAGCTGCTCCAAGTCTGAACCTCCCTGGACTCAATAAGTCACCAGTCTGTCAGCTCCTAATCCCCACTCATTAAAGATCTCATGGCCACACCAGAGTTGCCAAAATGGACCACCACTGTGTCTCCTTGAAACACCTACCTGTTAGTATTGCTGTCTGGATAGCCAACCATCGAATGGCCCCAAAGAGGGCAAGTGTACAGAGGGGAGGAAGAATGGATGTTTATTTGGGTCCTTCATAAGGTAACACATGAACATTGTACTAGGGCATGAGCTGTGCTCTGCACAGGTTGTGGGCAGAGTCTCTTGAACTCCAGGATAACCCTCTCCCTATAATAGTTATGACAGTTGGTCAAGGTCTCTATTTGTGTTGATTTGGGCTTCAGAAGAGTGGCTATTTGCAGCCCCCAAAACCATTGCAGGTCCCAGAGGATATACCTAGAACTCACAAAGTTAGAGCACATAGTACAACTCCACTATCTATGGAGTCACTCCAGAACACCCAGTAACATCAAGATGAGAGGCATCTTGCAGTGGCAGTGGGGTGGGGCATGGCAGTGGGGTGGGGCATGGACAGCCTTGCTTTCCTCACCAGAGTTCAGGGAGAAAAGACTGAGTAGGATAGTACTAACACATCCCCAGCACCTGCAAGTGAGTGTGCCTCATTGTACCTCCTCATCTCTGCCCCAAGAATACCTTCTGCCAACTGGGCACACTATTACTTGTTTCTTTCATACCCTGTCAAATATATTTTCCTTATCTTTAACTCTGTCATAGCTCTCTTTATAGAAGCCCAAACAGAAGAAGACAATATGATAATGTTTAGAACTGAAAATGGTGAGGAGAGATAAAGACCAAGCAGAAGTGCTGGAAAGTTCCATGTGGGACCCTCAGCACCACTGCTTTGGAATCCTTGACTCCCTCAGGCACCAAACCTCAGCCCTGAGCAGGATGAAGAGAATTATAGACTGAGTCTGAACTGAGCCCTTTTACCTGCACAAGCTCCTGCCATCTCTCAACTACTTGTGTTATAGGCGGTGAGACTGTCCCATTTACAGATGGGGAAACTGAGGCCCAGTAAACTTCTCTGAGTTGTATAGAGACTGGTTGTGTTGACAAGATTTGCCTGTAGGCTTTTCACTCTAGGCCTGGTGCCTTAGATGAGACGTGGTAATGGACACTAGAAACCATTTATTGAAGAGAAGGGGTGCTACCCAATCATCTGGATCTTCACAGAGTTATCAGACACAGTGGGTGTCCAAGAGGGCAGAGAAAAGGGGGTTATAATCGATCCCAGGTCAGTAGAGGAAGACATAGATCAAACTGGTGGCTTTCTCCAGCCTCAGGAAAGCTATGCACTTTCTGGATATCCTTCAGGTGCTGAAGGAGTGGACAGGCTGACGCCATTGTTTCCTGGGTCCAGAGTAGATTACCATTATAGGCAAATAGCACACAGTACTAAGTAAATGGAGGGAGAGATAGGTTAGGGAACTTCAGTACTAGCCTTAAGTCACTGGAAATATCTGGGTGGGTGCTGGGACAGGGTAGAAAAAATGTACATGGTGACTCATCACACAAATGCTATCCCTGGACTGCCTGTGGGAAGCCAACTTGGAGCTGGCCTCTCAAGACCTGGCAGATACCCAGGTATCTCTCCCTGTGCCTGGCACCCCTGCCTTTCACAGTCAGTGGCCTCAGGTCACTCACCACATCTGACATTGAAAGGACATCCCCAGGCTTGTTTTACTGTCTCTGCACTTCCCATCTATGTTAGCTATCATGCTTGACTGGAGTCCACCCTGTTGTTTGTGACTATCAGATATCTGTTACCACAGCTGCCACATGGGCTTGGAACCACCACACAAGGCTCTCCTATTTATACCTAAAGACCTAGATGACACCCATAGGTGTCTATTGCTGTCATCTATTGCTGTCATCTTCTCTTAACTATGCTGGGGCTAACATCAGCTGCAGTTTTCCAGCACAGCTTTTTACTCTCAGGGAACCTCCTCTTGAGTTTCTCTCTTAGAGTTCATAAGAGACAACAAGGAGTGAATACTGGCAGAAGCTAGTTCAGGAGAAGGGGATCCTGAGCTTTAGACAATGTTATTAATGCCAGAGACCGTGGGTCCCACCTCCTAAAAGTGTCCCTCCTCAGGGTAGTTCCACCCTAGGAGCTTTTGCAGATGGCCTTTGTAAGGACTCCATGTCAGCAGGGTTTCAGATATGAACATATGGTCCTTATATAGGCCCAGCCATGGTGATACCAAATGGATACTTGCAGACATTTCCCAGGGCCCTTGTAAGACTAATTATTACAAAAAATAGTTTTACGACGAGAAATTATTTTTGAAGACCTTCCCTTCCAAACTATTCTACACGTGTTTTTAGATCTGCATCTTCATGTAGTAGCTGTGGTGAATAGCAGACAGACTTAGGTAGCTGTCTGACAACTGTTAATTCCATTCTAAAAAAGGAGGAGGAGGAGGAGGAGGAGGAGGAGGAGGAGGAGGAGGAGGAGGAGAAGGAGGAGAAGAAAAATCCCTTCCTTCTTACCTTAAGGATGACCTAGTTTGGTTTCTTCTTCCAATTCAGCTGTGTAATGGTGACACCTTGTGGCAGATTTTATATCTTGTCATTTTTCTGGTCCCAGTTGGCCATCATTGACTCTCCTGAGTAAGGTTCTTAGGATTCTGCTACCCACCTCCAGGGTGGCACTGATAAAGTCAAGCAACATTTGATGTGTGTGGGCAAGCATCCAGAGGACAGAACACTAAGCTTAAGGCAAAAGCACTCAGAAGAGACATCAGAAGAGTGGATAGGGAAAAGGCTGAGGACAGAGTGGTTGCCACAGGGATGAGACTATGGGCAGTATGAGGTATATCACCTATTGGGTTTCCTTTCCTGTAGTCAGCACTGAAACTGCCTCCCCATTACCAAGTCCTGAGCAAGGCAAAACCATACAGCTACTGTCTGGTTCAGACACAAAATACCTCAAGTGCGGGTTTCTGGCTGTGAAACTCCCATTGGATCAAAATAGTTCACCAATATTGTAATTGCTAAACAAATACTTGACCATTATAAAACAACCACAACAGAGATAAATAAGGTAAAAAGTAGTATCCCTAGCTGGTGCTGAGATGCATGAAAAGAACTATATCTCACACTTAACCCTGAGGTTCATGTGTGCCTATTTACATACATGTGCACACACGCACAAGCACATATACTTGCAAACATCACACACACACACACACACACACACCAAATTAAAAAAAATTTGGTTGCTTCCAATGTTTGGGGATTACACATGAAGCTGTTATACTACCTATGTGCTGGTTTTTGTGTATAGTGGTAAATATCTAGGAACTCAAATGCTGATTTTTTTTTAAACAGTCTTATGTAGCCTTGAATAGTCTTATATAGCCCTGGCTAGTCTTCAACTTATTACATAGCCAAAGTATGATCTTGAACTCCTGATCCTCCTTCCTCTAACCACTAGGTGCTGGAAATACAGTTGTGTGCCATCACATCTTATAAGACTTTGTTTAGTTCAGTAAGAAACTGTCGAACTATTTTCCAAAGTAGCTTTATTATTGTTCATTCCCACCAGCAATGAAGGAGATGTGCTGTTGCTCTACATCTTCACCAGCTTTCGGTGAATTATACGTTTTATAAATTTTGGCTGTTCTAACAGGTGTGTATTGATATCTTATTGTTTTATAAATCTGCAATTACTAATGACACATGATGTTGAGCATCTATTCATAATGCTCATTTGCCATCTGTATATTTTCTTTGCTGAGATGTATGTTCATAGTGTTTGCCCATTTCTATTTGTACTGTTTGTTTTCTTATTGTTGAGTTTTAAGGATTCTTTAAAATCCTTTATCAGATATGTGTTTTGAGACTATTGTTTTTCAGTCTGTTTCTTATCTTTTTATTCTCTTAACAGTATATTTTATAGAGAAATGATGCCAGTTTTTTAAATATTTATTTTACTTTTAAGTATGTGTGTATGTGTGTGTGTGTGCACCTGACTGCAGGTGACAGCAGAGGCCAGATGCATCAGATTCCTGTGAAGGTGTTACAAGCGGACTTGGGTGCTGGGAGATAAACTTGGGTAAGATCTGTCTCTATTAGTTTTACCTGTGGATGTGTAATAATTCCACCATCTTTTGTTGAAAAGATCATCCTTCCTCCGTTGAATTGTATTTGTTCTTTTATCAAAAGTGAGTTTACTATATTTGTATGGATCGATCCTGGGCTTTTTATTTGATACCATTAATTTATCCCTGCCCTTATATGACATTTGATTACTGTAATTTTAATAGTAAGTCATGAAACCAAATGGTGTCTGGCCTGTACTTTTGTTCTTTTCCATCATTATTGTGTTATCTATTTTGGAATATTTTGCCTTTCTACACAAACTTTAAAAAATTGTATAATCATTTATTTTTCATTCATACCACAATCCACGGCGGGCTGAGTGACTCTCTTACAGATGCTGACTCAGGAATTCACGCTCCTTCCGTCTTGACAGTACTTTCTCCAACATGTACCCTCCATGCTGTGTGGAGGAGGTGTGCAATCACGATGATACAGAACAAGTTTCCGGTTCTCACTCAAAACTGGAAGAACAAAACTCAGAACAATCTCAACAGGTAGCCCTTAAAGGTCACTTAGACTGTTGTCTATTTTGTAGGTTTGTCTGAAGTGGTCAGGAGAACTGCTCAAGGATTTCAAAGTGCAAGTGTGCAGATGGCCATCCCCTGGGCCAGGTGGTCTGGCAGCGCCAGGGCCGGAAGTCATTTGCGTTGTAATTCCTGCAGACGTGGGCACCCAATCTATCACTGTTTCTTCACTCCTGCCTTTTCTACTGTGGGAGCGGTGTCCTTGTGCCTTCTGCAGACAAAAGACTTTCTCCCGCCAACATGCCCGCATCCTCTCATATCACTAGGACGGGGACCTACTTTGAGACCACGTATTGGCCACTGACGGAGGGACCCACCAAAGCATTTAAACCAGGGTGTGAAAAAAAAAGACAGGTTCGTGGGCTTTGCTGTTGCCCCTTTAAGAGCTCCTCCAACTGCACATGCTCAGTTCAGCTATAGCGCGCGCAGGCGCACAGGTAGCAGCGGATGTTTACAGCGGCCGAGGTCGGTGCGAAGCGACCGAAGCGTCCAAAGAACTGCTGTCGGAGTCTAAACCCGAGGGCCGCTAAGCGCCGAGGTAGAGCTGTTGCTGCCCCTCGGCCCTTCCCTCTGTACCCGTTCTCCAGCTCTGGTTACCGGTCCACTAGCGTCCGCGTTTCTTAGCATCTTTTGAGAGTTTCTAGCCCTAGCACCTGCCCCCACCCCATCTCCCTGCCCAGCACCCTTCACACCAAATCTTCCTCCAGCACCTTCCCTTCAGCGTACCCCACCTCCAACTCCCCACTCCCCCCAACCCCCGCTCTCTCTTGCTAACTGTGATATGTTTGCTCTAGATCTACAGCCTATTTCTGATTAAGTAGAAAACGTTTGCAATTAGCTCAAGGGCAAGTCGGGCATTGACAAGGTTTGAAACAAATTCCACCTTGGATGGTTATTTGAAAGAAGGCAGAGCAGAAAAGAATGGACCTGGCTGGGGAAAGGTCTGAAATAGCTGGAGAGAATTTGCAGGGGCCTGGTTCCTTTGTTTGTTTTTTATTAACCCTGTTCCTCTGCCACCAACTCAGTCATCTGATTATCTGACCCTCTGCTCTCTTGGACCTGCACTGTTGGTCTCTGTTCTTGTCAGCGAAGACGTGGCTAAAGTGGGCTCCATTCCGATTTTTGGTAGGCTGTCTTTCTAGAATGAGGTATTTAAGAGACTCAGTACTGATTGTATGTAGAGGGAATTGAAGTGGCCCCTCTGAGGTGGTGGGGTTTGGCCTCTCCCTTGGCCCTGGCTTTTCTCCATCCTCTACTGAGACCTTGCTGGCAGAGTTTTGAGAAGTACATTTCTTTATATCTTTTTAAAATTCTGGTAGTTCCAAAACTTTTCTATGCATAAAACAGTCAGCATATAATACTATTCAGACTTTAATTTGATTCCACCGCAAATGGTATGCATTTAATGCATACCCTCCAAGAGTTCTGGTTTTCAAGGTAAGAAGCCTCAGTTATTCCCATCATTCTGTTGGCAGGATGATCGTTTGGGACCCATTTTCCCAGCAAGATATCCCCATAAGAAGTGACATCCAACCAGGTAGTGGTGGTGCACGCCTTTAATCCCAGCACTCAGGAGGCAGAGGCTAGTGGATCTCTGAGTTCGAGGCTAGCCTGGTCTACAGAGCAAATTCCAGGACAGCCAAGGCTATACTGAGAATCCCTGTCTTGAAAAATCAAAACCAAAACAAAACAAATAAACAAAAAAAGTGACATCCAGATTTGACTGTGGGCCTGCTTGTGTATGTTTTCCAAATGCAGCATAGATCAGAAACAGAACCCCCTTAGTCCAGCTTCACTTGTGTTGTTGCTGTCCATTTTGAGTCCTTCTGTGCTATTGCTGCTCAGTGTTTTCCTGTGTCCTCATGTTTTGTTGGCCTGTGCTAATCACTTCTGAATAAGAATAATAAGCATTACAGCAAGTAGTAAAATATGTAGTGTAGTGAAGGAAGGACAGCCTCCTAAAAATGATTCTTTATCTTCAATCAGAGTCAATGTATTGCATTCTGTTGCAGCAATACTATTTGGTTTGGTGAGGGTGGTTTTTTTTCTTCCTTTTTGACATGGTGACTGATCATGTCCAGGTCAGCAGCAAGCATTGATGCTTCCATGCAAGGCAACTTTAGATTGTCAGACAAAGCTAATATTAAGTATCAGACTCTATCATTGTTTACCTACTCCCCAACAATAGCAACAGATAGGGCTACCTTGGTGTTCTGTGTAGTCTAAAGAATTATCTGATCTGGAGCATGATCTACAATAGCTCCAGACAGCTTTCTGTTTAAGTGAGTGAATTTAATAAGCATATAGCAAGCAAAAGTAAAAGAACTAGTGAGTAGTGATAGAAGTAGCAGATAGATAGCAAAACCTCATCAGATTTAGTACTCACATCTAGTAGAGATGACTGGAGTAGTCCATCGAGGGAACAAACAAAAGGTAATGGCAGAAATCATCTGGGAAAGTCCCATTTGAGGCAGCCATTTGGAATTCCTGATTGAGAGCTCCAGGTGAGACTTCCCAGTTTTTTAAAAAAAAAAAAAAAAAAAAAAGATTAGCAAAAAGCAGACATCAAGTTGGGCACTTAAAATCATCTAGTAGAAATTGACTGGAGAAGTTGAGGCAGTCATCTGGAGTTCCCAATATAACTTTTTTCCCATGGGTAAGATTGCCATGGCTGAATTTCTGACTTCCTGTTCCTACTGAGGTATTTTTAAACCTTCTGATAAACAATAGTCTTGGAAATGATTAACCTTTTAGCCCTTCTCAAGGATACAATATTTTACTCCTGGGCTGTTTTGCTCTTCCTTTCCCTTAATCATAGAATTAGGTGCCCACCCAGCCCCAGGAAAAGGGATTTTGGAGAATATTTGGAGACCACTGGAAACAAATATGCTAGAGCTGGTACAAGAGAGTCCTTACTCTCACATCCACTTTCAACGATCTTAAACAGCACACGACAGTTTACCAATATAATGCACATTATACTTGGTTATGAAAATATTAACAAGAAATTAGCAAAGAATGTTGTTCTCTTGTGAGAAGCCTTTGACTAGACAGTGCTGGGTTTGATCATAGCTCCTCTTGCTGTTTGTGACTGTGAGCAGTTTAGTAACTAAGACCAGCTTGCCTTACCTTTAGATGTTTAATGTAGTGCTTACTGGTGGGTGGTAACTGTTAGAAAGATGGTTGCTGTTTTTACTGAAATTCTGTTCTTTTAATATGGAATAAGCTTTCATGTGAGGAAAAGTTCAGTAAGATAAATATCTAGTACTAAATGAAATATATCTAACATGGTTTGTGGTACGTGCTGGAGACTGTTACACAGTGGAACTGTGATAGAATGACAGAGTATGATGATGACTTTCTTGATTCAGTAGGATTTGTGGTTTTTAAAGGTCTTTTCCTAAATTGGCCTATAAGCATATAAATACATTATTCTATTTTCAACTGGTGTCCCAAATTTTAAGATGACTCTGTTAAATCAATAGTGTAGCAGTAGAACTAAGTGGCTTATCCAAGATTAAGACCAACCTTATTAGCACTAAGGACTGGTTACAGCTGGAGACAAAGGTTCTGAATCTACTTTAAAAGTAGATGAAATTTTAATAGTTGAACCATGATTTGAAAAGTATTATTTGTCTTGATTATGAAAATGGAATATTTCATCATAAAATGGAAACAAATGTGTATCAAGACATAGTTTTTCACCTGTTGTAAGATGCCAGAGTGGAAGTTTTTCACTCCTAGGCTTAGTTCTCCAGCAGTGCTGTCACCAGTTGTGCACATAGGTGTGTACAGGGACTGTCTCCAGTATTCTAGAGAGAAAACTGTGAGGGGAGAGGGATCATAGCAATTTAGTTGTTATTGTTTGAGACATGCTCTTTTTTTCTTTCTTCTTTTTCCTTTTTCAAGACAGGGTTTCTCTTGTAGCCTTGGCTCTCCTGGAACTTACTCTGTAGATCAGGTTGGTCTTGAGCTCACAGAGATCCTCCTGTCTCTGCCTCTTGAGTGGTGTGATTAAAGGCATGCACTATCACCCAGCCTGAGACAGGTTCTTATATAGTCCATGCTGGCCTGGAACTCACTGAAGATGACCTTGAACTCCTGAACAGGAGGCTGTTTTGATTCATAAAGTCTACAAATCTTTGTATCATTCCATAGTCTTCAGGAGTTTATATCAGCATCACCATCTTGTAAGAAATAAAGCCATTATTTTGGAAAGCTCACCTGAGGTCAGTATAAAACTGGGGAGGGTATCTTTCTTTTTCTAGGAAGAAAAAGACCTCTCCACAGTAAAAAAATATTCTCTGTTCGCTGATCAGGGCATGTTGTATTTTAGTAATTGGACCTAAAGGGGATGCTTTCTTCACCAAGATCGTGTGGGAAAAGATAAGAAGTATACTTTTTTTTTTTTTTTTTTTTTTTTTTTTTTTTTTTTTTTTGGTTTTTTGAGACAGGGTTTCTCTTTGTAGCTTTGGAGCCTGTCCTGGAACTCACTCTGTAGCCCAAGCTGGCCTCGAACTCACAGAGATCCGCCTCCCTCTGCCTCCCGAGTGCTGGGATTAAAGGTGTGCGCATAGAGAGCAAGGGGAAGCTGTGGTAGGGAAGTAGGACACAAAGTGCTAGCAGTGACCACTTGTACTGCTAAACTTTAGCCTTGAAACCGATTTTTTGTTTGTTACAATAAAGTATTTGTTACAATGTGTTCTATTTGGGGAGAAAGTTTTGTGGATGTTTTTACCTAAAATTTAAACATCAGAGTAACCAAATCAGTAGGTTGGATGGATTGCTTGTTGTGAGTGAGTTTGTGTGTATGTTGAGATATAGTGCTCTGGTTAATGTTGGGATACCATTAAATTTGAATTTCAGGATGACTCAGTGGGTAAAGGTACCTGAAATCCAGCCTGAAGATCTGAGTTCCATCCCTAGGATCTCTAGGGATCAGTCCTGCAAATTGTCCTCTGACCTCCACTTGTGTTTTGTGACACATGTGGGTCAGTATACATACCCTCCAAATAATAAATGTAAAACTTTTTAAAAGTTTAATCAGTTAAACATCAAATGGCTTATTATTTGTTGTTGACTTTAATTTTTAGTGGAAGTAGGATTCTTTTTTCCTAATTAAAAAAATTGTGTGTATGGGCTCACACATGCCAATGTATGGATGAGGAGATCAGAGAACAACCCAGTGGCGTTGGTATCTTTCCTCTCATCTTTATGTAGGTTCTGGGGAATGAACTAAGGTTATAGGACTAAGGTTATAGGCTTTGTGTGGCAAGTGCTTTACCCACTGAACAATTCCTTCAGCCCTGTAATCCCTACTCCCCATACCACTATCTTTGGAGGGTGAAGTGGTTATTAACAAAAGATACTCCTGTCATTATTATATTTAGAATTTAATATTTGGAAATAGCTTGTGTTTAGAGCTTTTATTATTTTGCTCTTGCCTTTAATGTAAATAGTTATTAAAATTTTAATTGTAGTCTTGCTTGATTGTAATCTTGAACATGGGCGGTGCTGTGAGTGCTGGTGAGGACAACGATGAGCTCATTGATAATTTGAAGGAAGCCCAGTACATCCGGACGGATTTAGTAGAGCAGGCTTTCAGAGCAATCGATCGAGCAGATTATTATCTTGAAGAATTTAAAGAAAATGCGTACAAAGACTTGGCGTGGAAGCATGGAAACATTCATCTCTCAGCCCCGTGCATCTACTCGGAGGTGATGGAGGCTCTGGATCTGCAGCCTGGGCTCTCATTTCTCAATTTGGGCAGTGGTACTGGCTACCTCAGCTCCATGGTGGGCCTCATTCTAGGTGAGTGTGGATGCAGAGCTTGAGTCCCCTCTGCCTTAGGACGATGTGGTATCACTTTAGATAGAAAATGTAGTAGTCTGGTTGCATCCCCTGGTGAAGAATATGGACCTCCTATCAGTTGCCTGAAATTTAGCTACTAGAGGTGGATGACTGGATGATATCCACCTGTGGGCCCTGAGTTGTAAGTTTTGTTGTCTCTTACCTGTATTGCCGAATTCTGCTGTGAATGATGGAAAACAGCAAAGGTGTATAAATCCTGACTTTATGTGATTTTTTAATTTAATTTAATCACTCTTTTACCCTTTTTTCCCACTGGGTGTCATTAAAATCCTTTGGTAGTTGAAGTTCTTTGTAGCAATTTCTGTTATGTTGTTTGCTACTAAAAGAGTAATAAGTTTATAAGTTTATGTATTTTTAAGAAATTTTCAGATATGGATATATGGATGGAAGGGATTTCTTTTTTTTTTTTTTCTTCTTTCTTTCTTTTTTTTTTTTTTGGTGTTTCAAGACAGGGTTTCTCTGTGTAGCTTTGGAGTCTGTCCTGGAACTCGATCTGTAGACCAGGCTGGCCTTGAACTCACCGAGATCCACCTGCCTCTGCCTCCCAAATGCTGGGATTAAAGGTGTGCACCACCACCGCCCAGCTGGAAGGGATTTCTTAGGTTATCATATTTGGAGTTATTTAGGCTATTTGCTGTACAAGTTGTAAGAATGCATGTATGGATATGGCCATTTCTGATATTATTATCAGGATTATCAGCCAAAGAGCTATTGAATTCTTGTTTTGTGTAAAATGTATATTGGGGCAAAGACTTTTCAGATGTTGCTTGTTTTTCTTCTCAATTGAAATAATTTTTAATCTTAGTTTGTCTTTGATTGAGACATGGTTTCCATGCTTTGAGAAAAGGACACAGGCCCAGATTACTTATTCCTGTGACTTGCTTGATTTTACTTGAAAAATTTTACCTTGGCTAAGGTTGTTGTTTTTTGCTGGGGGGAATAGATAATAAAGCCACCTAGATTAGAAGAAATGCTAATGAAAAAAGCCGGAGGAACTGAGGACAGTAAATGCTGTACAAGCATGAACCAGAACACGTAAAAAGCCAGGTACAGCAGTGTGTTCTGTAATCTCAGTGCTGCAAAACAGAGATAGGATTCTAGGGACTTGCTTGGCCAGCCAGTTTAACTGAGTAGGACTCTGTCTCAAGCAGTAACTTGGGGAGTGGAAGATTCCTGATGTTGATCTCTGCCATGGACACTCATGAGCCTGCACGTGCGCACGCGCATGCACACACAGAGAGACATGCGTGCGTAGTACCTATGAAAAGAGTAAGCCTGGAGACACTGTGGCACTCCATAAGTGCCAGTAGTGTTAATGAAAGTGCTGTGAAATATAGATTAAAGCCTAATAAAAGATTTATTTGTAAATATAGGTTTCTTCTTAAATTTGTTAGTAAAAGCTACTACTCTTACTTTTTTTTTCAATTTGCAAATTATTCTTTTAATGTTTGAGAAGCCCAGGCATCAAAACAAATACTGTGTTAGTGAATGGAAACTATACTACACATTGAAAGACTCTCTTGAGTGGTTTGTAGCCACAAATGTGCTGAGGCCTTAAGACCTCATGAGTTTCTATAATTATACATTACATAATTATCTGTTTTGTAATTAGTAAAGTACAGAAAAAAAAATAAGCAAGGGTTCTTTTCCTGATTCTAAGAGCTTTGTTATTCTCAACCCTTTCAGGTCCTTTTGGTGTAAACCATGGGGTGGAGCTTCATTCAGATGTGACTGAGTATGCGAAGCAGAAACTGGATGTCTTTATCAGAACAAGTGACAGTTTTGACAAGTACGGTCAGATGCTACCCATTGGTTCAAACTAAGGGTGTTAACTATAAATAAAAAAAGCCTGTTTAATATGCATATGCCAGTAAACATAGTTAAAGTATGGTTAGATGATCCCAGGTTATATGTATGCCTACCTTATTTACTGTATTATTTTAATATTCTCTGGTCTTGAGGACTTTATAGTTTTTATTTTATTTTTTTGGTTTTTTGAGACAAGGTATCCTCATATATCCTCATATAGCCCTGGCTATCTTGGAACTCACTATGTAGACCAGGCTGGCCTTGAATTTACAGAAACCCACCTGCCTTTGTCTCCTGAGTGCTGAGATTAAAGGCATGTACATACCTGGGCAGCTTTTTTTTTTTTTTGGTTTTTGAGGCATGGTTTCTCTGTTTAACATCTCTGACTATCCTGGAACTCAGACCAGGATGATCTTGGTTTTATAGAGATCCTCCTGCCTCTGCCTCCCAAGTGCTGGGATTAAAGGTGTGGACCACCACCTCCCAGCCAGCTTTGTGTTTTATAACTTATGATACTTTACATTAATTTTCATCAGTATAGTAAGAGAAGAAAACAAAAGCTTTATTCAGTTTTCATGTTCCAGTATAGAAAACTTTTATCACCTAATTGTTTCCACAATAAAATGGTTATGTTTATTTTTGAACAGTTTATATAAGTAGCTCTTGGCATTTAAAATATGCCACTGAAATTCTTAAAGAATGGAAATTTCAGAGAACAAAAAGTGTCTTTTTGCCGATAGTGGTGGAGGCAGGCAGATCTTTGTGAGTTTGAGCAGCTTGTTCTACATGGCAATTTCTAGGCTAGACAGTAGAGAGAGCCTGTCCAAATAGAGAAAATGCTTTTTAAAACCTCCTGTTGGGCCGGGTGGTGGTGGCGCACGCCTTTAATCCCAGCACTCGGGAGGCAGAGCCAGGCGGATCTCTGTGAGTTCGAGGCCAGCCTGGGCTACCAAGCGAGTCCCAGGAAAGGCGCAAAAGCTACAAGAGAAACCCTGTCTCGAAAAACCAAAAAAAAAAAAAAAAAAAAAAACCTCCTGTTGGGGCTGGCAAGATGGCTCAGGGTAGGTAAAGGCACTTGCTACTCAGAGTGATGCTCTGAATTTGATCTGTGGAAACTTCTACAAGTTGTCTACACACACACACACACACACACACACACACACACACACACACACACACATCCTGAATAAATAAATCAAAATCTAATAAAATCTCCAGTTGCTTGTCAAGCAACTGAATGTGGTGCTGCACATTGTAAAAACAGTGAAAAATGATAGCTGATGTTGCTTTATATTTGGATCATGTTGGAGCATTCACTTTCATTCTATTTTGTTTGTAATTTCTAAGGTTCTATTTATATAGTAATATAGCTTCTAGCTCCTGGATCTGGAAAGTGTTACCTTGTCCTGTGATTTTGTAATTAAAATATAACCTATTGTAAGCATAAACTTGTTTTATGTACTTGTTACAATGACACATGTAGTTACAGAAAACTTTTTTCCTTGCAGATTTGACTTCTGTGAACCTTCCTTTGTAACTGGCAATTGCCTGGAGATTGCTCCAGATTGTTGTCAGTATGATCGTGTGTATTGTGGAGCTGGTGTGCAGAAAGAACATGAAGAGTACATGAAGAATCTTCTCAAAGTTGGAGGGATCCTTGTCATGCCCTTGGAAGAGAAGGTCAGGTTCTCTACACAGCTGACATTGTGTATACTCTCCTTCAAAGTTAGCTTATGTGTACTACTTTTGCAGTAGCTCTGCCATGTTATTAACCGAGGACAGGTATGGATATGCCAAGGTCTTCCATACCTAGGTGCTGTGTGTGAACCTTCCCTTACCTCCTTTCTGTTTTATATTTGTTCTTCCTTCTGTTTTTTTTCTTTCCTTCTCCCTTCCCTTCTCTTTCTTCCTCCTTCTCTTCATCATCACCCCAGCTCCCTTTGTTGTTGTTGTTGTCTTGTACTTGCTCAATACTTTGATGGAAAGTATTTCACACATTTCCTCCTTTTCAAAAATTTTCTTGTATAGACTGGCTTGAAACTTAGAATGCTTTACTTAAAAGAGTTCTTGAATGTAATTTTTAAAAATTTATTTATTTTTATTTTATATGCATTGGTGTTTTGCCTGGATGTATGTCTCTATGAGGTTGTCAAATTCCCTGGAACTGGAGTTACAGACAGTTATGAACTGACATGTGGGTGCTGGGAATTGAACCCGGCCAATGCTCTTAACCACTGAGCCATCTCTCCAGCCCCTCATGAATATAATGTTAAGTCATTCAATTTTGAATCTATATCATTTTGTTGTTTAAAAGTTGCATTTGGTTGATATATCTCTTAGGTGTGTGTGTTTATGTATGAGTGTTCACATGTATGCATGTATGCATGTGCATGTGGAGGCCAGAGAATTGACATCTGGTATCTTCTTTGATTGCTTTCCACCTTAGATATTGAGGCAGGATTTCTCACTTGAACCCAGAGCTCACCAGTTTGGCTGATCTAGCTAGCCAGCTTGCTCTGGGGATTCGCTGTCTGCACCTTCTGAGTGTTGAGATTACAGGTGAACCACACCATCTGCCTAATGTTTAATTGAGTGCTGGGGATTGGAACTCTGGTTCTCCTGTTTGCATGGCAAGCACTTTACCAACTGAGCTATTTTCCTAGTCCTTTCTTATTTTTTAATATTTTGGTTTTCTTTTTCATGTTTTCTTTGTAACTGATTTGTTCAGGGGAGTAGGTTATTGGTCTCATAGTGTTTTCCTACACCCTGGATTTTGCAGTTCATAGATGCATGTTCTTCTGTCCTTTGTATTTTCTACCTATTGGTAATTAGATCTAGAATCTTAGTAGAGTTTACCTTTGTCATATTTTGATGGGGGAGGACACAAGAATATAAGCTATGTATTAAAAATAGACATTTGTCTTCATTATATAAAGGATTGATTCCAAGACCACTTTTTTCCACTCATGATGACAAAATATGGAGATGCCTCAGATCCTTTCATAAAATCATGTAGTATGTTAGTGGCATATGACCTACACACATCCTCCTGTGTACTTTAGAATACCTCTAGATTAATGGTAATATCTGGTAGAGTATCAATGCTGTATAAATAGTTGTTTATTGTGTTGCTTAGGGAATAATGACGAGCAGAAAAATCTGTACATGTTCAGTAGTACACAATTTACTTTCTGAATATTTTTGGTATGCAGTTGCTTGGATGTAAGAACATTGGATCTATAGGACAAGTGTTACTTAAGTGTGTAGGCACAAGCAGCTTCTTTGTTTACTCATCCTTACAGAATGATAGTAGCCTGATCCATTGTTTCATTAAGAACTATAGAATAAGCCGGGCGGTGGTGGCGCACGCCTTTAATCCCAGCACTCGGGAGGCAGAGCCAGGCGGATCTCTGTGAGTTCGAGGCCAGCTTGGGCTACCAAGTGAGTTCCAGGAGAGGCGCAAAGCTACACAGAGAAACCCTGTCTCGAAAAACCCAAAAAAAAAAAAAAAAAAAGAACTATAGAATTATACATTTAAATTCCTTCATTTTTTCTGTATTTAGGTGCTGGTTAACTTTGATAAAGAGAAAACTGCTTATTATTGATTTGGTCCCCCTGAAGTATACATTATGTACGACATACAGGATAAATTTTGGTTATTAATATTTGCTTATTAATTTTCTGAGTAATTTGGCTTTTTGTCAAAGGGAGGTGACTAATAAGGCTTTGTTTGTTTTTTAGTATCAACTAATTTTGATTGAGATTATTTTAGTTCTAGATTAATTTGAAGAGGATAGGCATCTTCATACTATTTCCATCTGTTCATCTAGATTATGAAATGCAGGTTTATAGTTTTATTTAAGGTCTTACATATCATTTATGTATTATATTTAAATGTTTGATGTTCATTCTGGATAGAAACTATCCTTTAAAAAGAAGAGGCTTCTGGTGGTGCACACCTTTTATCAGGTGGAACTCTGAGTTTGAGGTCAGCTTGGTCTATAGAGTGAGTTCCAAGACAGCCAGGACAATATAGACAAACTCTGTCTTAAAAACAAACAAAACAAAACAAAAAAGTTTCTGGGTGATGAAGAGATGGCTCAGCAGTTAGGAACATACAATTCTTACAGAGGAACTGAGTTTAGGCAACTCACCAAGGTCTGTAACTCCAGCTTTAGGGGTTCTGAGGGTCTCTATTGGACTCTGAGAGCACTGGCACTTGTACATATACCTTTACACACACACACAAACACACACACACACACACACACACACACACACACACACACACACTTTAATCTTCAAAATTTTCTGAAAAAAATGTTTTTGCTGTTGTTTCTGAATATGATTAATGTTTAGATATTTCCCTAGTAATTGTGCTGTTTAATCCTTTTAGAGAATCCTTAGTTTTGGCCATTTACAGACTGTCCTAGTTACATTGAATACACAGAGGCTTTGTCGTTAAATTGGATTCTTTGGTACCAATCCTATAATGTAAAGTGCTTTGATGATCTACATTGCTATGTATCAGCTACAATATCCCACTGCACCCCTGAAGTGCTATTAGTGAGAGTAAGGACAATTGCTTAGGTGTCCAGAATGACATATTTATGTTGAAGAAAGTCACAGAAGCATGGTGGTAGTATCTGGCATTTGGGCCTCTCCTGCTCCCTTGCTGTTATAGGTGCGGATGGCTTGCACCTCAGATGTTTTGTGCCTCAGATGCCATTGTAGCTATACTCTTGAAAGTAGCACACAGAATTTAGGGTTTTTTATGGTTGAAGTATTGTGGCTATTGTGCATCTTTGGTTATTTTTACTGAGGACAGACTCTTTCCAGCTTATCCCTGACCACTGTTTTGAAGAACCTTAGAAGGTTGTTTGGTAAGAATTTTTCTTCCTTATCTCATTATTTCCTCTTCTAGTCCTTTAACTGGCCTATTGTTCATATTTCTTGTAAACACAAGGTAGGTTATGGAACTTGAGCATGTTCATGCTAAGCATTTACATAAGAGTATTCCTGTTAGTTGTAAGTAATATCACATTAGGTGTTATGTAGACAGGCTATGTCATATTTAGATTTCATATACTGAAACAATTACACTTAAATATAAGTTGTCTAGTAGCCAAATCCTTTGGATGTTCTTGTTTTGTCTTTGAGATAGTTGACCAAGATAACACGCACAGGCCCTTCTGCTTGGGAAACAAAAAAGATTCTGGCCGTTTCCTTCGCCCCTCTGGTCCAACCCTGCCGTTCGGAGTCAGGACAGCCTAGACTTGTCCAGCTACGTGAGTATAAGCATCTACCTCTCTTTTATCTCTGATTAAAATTAGAATAGAAACAAAAAGTACAAGTAACACTTTGACATTAAAGAGTATTAACTTCCCTTATTGCAGCCCTCAAATTATACAAGATACTTTAGACATTTAAAAAGTCTCTCTATTTAGCCCATCTTAGATGATTTTAGTCTTCTTTTAAATTTATAAAGTGTTGTTGCTGATCATGCTTCTGAAAGTAGCAGATTCACCAAAGAGCTAATTTTGCCACATGGGAATCTCAGGCAGTTTGCCTTGCCTGCTGGGAATGTGTAGCAGTCCCTGCTCACAGTCCTCACAGTACCTGTCTCATGATGCTTTAAGCAATACAGGTGAGCCTGTTCTGCTGTGTGACTGGGAAATTTTGTGTAGCCTCACATGCTCTAAACTTTTGTGCTTACATCTCGAAGATGCAGACTTGGCATGGAGCTAACATAGGGTGACATTCATCCTGATGTTTTATATTTTAAACAGCTCTAACAGAAATAGGATTTCAAAGTGATGAAGATTTAGGATGTCCAAGTGAAGACAATTCATCATACTTTTGATCACTTAAAACATTTGGAAAACGTGTGTGTGTGTGTTTGTGTGTGTGTATGTGTGTATACACAAGAAAAGGAGAAAGGGAGAAAGGGAGAAAAATAGAATAGGAATGTGAATTATTATAGATAGTTCTAAAACAAATACATTTTTGGTGAATTTTTTTAGAGAACACTTCAATTTGTGATAGTCATTTAACAAATTGCCCTACTTTGTGTGTCATATGAAATTCAGTAACAAGTAACAGTGAAACATACAAAGAAGTTTAGAGAGACTAGGGAAGGTATGTAGAAGATGATGTTATGTTGTACTTGATTTTGAGGGTGAGAAGGAATTCCCTTAAGAGAGGAGGAGTAGAAAGGTATCAGGAGAACCAGGGCAAAGTTAGAGACACACACTCTATGGTGTAGTCATTGTGGGTGTTTTGGAAAAACTTGACTTATATGTAGTTTGGGTTTTAATTCATTGTATGGCTGTGGAGAGCTTCAGATGTTATTGAAGATGCTGCGTATACCAGTCATTTGGAGGGTGAATTTGTCAGACTGGTGTGTTGTAGAATATTATTTTAAGGTGTGTTACTTTTGTTTATGTTGCATTTGTTTAACTCTGTTAAGCTGTGTTACTGTGTCTGCCTAAAACACCTGATGGTTTAATAAAGAACTGACTGGCCAATAGCAAGGCAGGAGAGAGACATAGGCCGGGCTGACAGGCAGAGAGAATATATAGAAGGAGAAATCTGGGAGGAGAAGTAGCCAGAGAAGACATTAGGGACCAGCCACCCAGCTACACAGCAAGCCATTTACAGAAGTAAGAGAACAGGAAAAGCCCAAAGGCAAAAGATAGATGGGATAATTTAAGTAAAGCTGGCTAGAAATAAGCCAAGGTAAGGCCGGCATTCATAAGTAATAATAAGGCTCCGTGTGTGTTTACTTGGGAGCTGAGTGGCAGACCTCTCAAAAGAGTAAAACAAACAAACAACAACATTGGTTCTCTAAAATTTTGTTCTTTAAGCAAATGTGGCCAGTGATAAGGAAGTGCACCATCTTCTGGCACAATGGCTGGGTTTAGAAGACAAGGACTCAGGAGAGCATTTGGAAGACTCTGAAGATCTGGTTAAAAATGAATGTTTCTGTGTGAGGGCTTGTCAAGCCTGGCTATGTGTTGCCTCCTGAGATGCTCACTGTGAATGTTGAGTGATAAACATTCATGTGATTTGGTTAGCATTACTAAAGTGATCGGTTGGGTAGGGTATTTGCAGTTTCTATTTTCCCAGATTTTCCTAGGTCACTGATTTTTGTGAGACCAAGGGAATAAGAGAAACCGTATAGCAAAGCCAGCCCACAGTGATACTGAACAGCTTTGGATATGCACTGCCTGGAGCATCCCCCTAGGTGGCATGTATGCAGGTTGGAGGCAGAAGTCAGGCAGGAAGTTGATGGGGGTTTCCCCATCAGGCAAGAGACAAAGATTGAGACTATACCAGCCTCAGCAGGAAGGGTTCAGGGACACATGACCTTTCTAAGGAAGAACAGGAGTGCTGTGGGATGTTCTGTATGGCAAATGTGTTGCTAATTAGTCAATAAATAAAACACTGATTGGCCGTTGGCTAGGCAGGAAGTGTAGGCGGGACAAGGAGGAGAATAAAGCTGGGAAGTGGAAGGCTGAGTCAGAGAGACACTGCCAGCTGCCACGATGAGAAACAGCATGTGAAGATGCCGGTAAGCCACGAGCCACGTGGCAAGGTATAGATTAATAGAAATGGGTTAATTTAAGCTGTAAGAACAGTTAGCAAGAAGCCTGCCACGGCCATACAGTTTGTAAGCAAAATAAATCTCTGTGTTTACTTGGTTGGGTTTGAAAGGCTGTGGGACTGGCAGGTGAGAGAGATTTGTCCTGACTGTGGGCCAGGCAGGAAAACTCTACCTACACAGGAGAGCCCAAGGTATTGTATTATCATCTGTGCTAAGTGTGGGGTAGGCTTGACTTGACTGGGACTAAATTTCAACTTGGGGAGGAGGTCTGTATTACTTAAAGTCACAGAACAGATGTAAAACCAAGAATCAGCAGTCATACTGAGAAAGGAATGAAGTGAATACTGGAGGCTTTGAGAGTGTCACAAGGCCCAAGGAAGAGAAGTCATAGAGAAGGACTATGAACTGAATCAGCTATTCCTGGTGGTCCTCAGAGAAAGTTTGATAGGCCAGAGTTGATACTTGGGAGCCTAATGGCCAGTGAAGGACTGTTTTTAGCATCTTGGAGGAACAGCTGGATTGCAGAGGTTCTGGAACCAAGTTTTCTTGAATTGAGTTAGAGCAGGATATACCACAGGTCATTTGTTGAGCAACATGGCAGGATGCAGGCAAGGTACCGCAGAACCATCCTGGAGAGAGAGCACAGCCCCATGTTCTCAGGGACAGAGGATAAGAGAGAAAGCTTGGTGCCTCTGAAAGAGGTAGGAGATACTGTTTGTTGTTAGAACCTGGTCTACAGACTTGCATATCTGCAGGACAGAGGATATTGGTGGTCTATAGGCAGGGGTTATGATTTAGGTAGCAAATGCTGCAGATAACACAAGAACCTTCTCTATAGAGTGGCCTCTTGTTTGGAGAAGGTTATGTATACTGGATGGAAAAAGGGATTTAGATTTTCTGTTTAAGGTATCTAAACCCATGGCCTCTAATTCCTTTTACTTTGAGAAAAACCCTTTGTTCTTCTTAAAATGGTTTTAGATTTTCATGTGTCTACTTTAACAGAAAAATATTTAATTTATAACTTACTGTGAAACTATTAAAATAGATAAAGGGATGTTAGAAGTGTAGATTACTGTATTGTTGAGTGGGTGTTATTGTGTCATTGAGCAGAGTAAATTGAGTTATGAACTAGTCTGCAAAAACAAACCCTAAGGTTTCAAATTCTGCTGCTGACTGATTGGCTAGACAGTATTTCTTTCCTTTTCAGAGTTAAGAATTAGTATATATGGATATGTCTTTTGAAAAATACATGAGGTGCAGAGTAGACCACTGGTTCCTATTTTATTAGAATACTCCCTTCTTTGAAGTTCTTCCAGCAAGTTAGGTATGGGGTTGGCCCTGCCCGTGCCCACAGGCTCTGCCCCTGTCCACAGCACCACTGGCCGTGCGCAGCCTGCAGGATCTGGCCCGGCTTGCTATCCGTGGCAGCATCAAGAGGGCTATGCGCCAGGAAGCCACCAGAGGAGGTGGACTGAAGAGCACACCTATGTTTAAAAGAAGGCGACTTCGTCGCCGGCGAATGGAAACCATTGTCTTTTTGGACAAAGAGGTCTTTGCCAGTCGAATTTCCAACCCCTCTGATGACACCAGCTATGAAGATGCAGAGGAGGATCGGCGGGAAGTGGCAGAGAGGACCTTACGGGAGGCCAAGCCTGAGCCACCAGTAAACTTCCTTCGCCAGAGGGTATTGCGCCTCCCATTGCCCGACCCCCTGAAGTACTACCTGCTGTATTACAGGGAAAAGTGAGCTGTGGGAGAGTGGGACCAGGATACCCAGAGCAATCTGCTGGCCAGGTACATGTGTCTTTTCCCTTTATTGGTTCCTGACTATCCTCTGAAACTTTCATGCAATGGTGTGATTTTATTTAAGCACAATCCAACAAGAAACTTCATTGAATTATTTCCCTCAGTAGGGGTGGGGTGGGGTGCACATCTTGTTGGCTCTACTGTAATTTGAGCTCATTGGGAACTGCATGATGTCTGCTCCTTATGCAGGCAAACTTATACACTGAGGCTGGAACTGAATTGTATTGGATTCTGTGTGAAGCAAGGGGCATATCTGTAAAGGTGTGACATCTTTGGGTGTGACATACCACCATTCAGCTTGAATTTTATGTCATGATTCTATTGTTGGCACTGAGTTCATCTGATTTTTGTTGTTTTCTAGGTTGGAAAATGTTGGAAAGCCTCCCTTATTTTAATCAAACCAATCAAATCTTATGTGAAATATCTACTTGTAGTTTTTAAAAGGAAAAGAAAATGAGATGCAGGAGGAGGAATAAAATATAAAACTGTCAGATGTCTTTCTGGAATTTCCAAAGACTTCTAAGCATTTGACCCCCCCCCCCATACTTTCTGTTACTATAGGAACCACCATCAAGTAATATCTTACAGAATATTCTAAAAGGAGAACAAGTTTTTCTTACTTAAACAAAACAAAACAAAAGAACAAACAAAAAAATGTGAGTGATAAGCTAGTCACTGAATTGCAAAGACCGGAACAGGTTTCTAAAGTATGTTAATGAGAATTTCAGAGCAGGTAGAGAGACTGCAGGGTGTTACAGACAGCCCATGCTTCTCGACTTCAGTTTGCTATCGTTCTGTGATCATATTAGAGTACCAATTCATAGATTTTTATCTTTTATAATTCTGGAGAAAAAAATTGTTAGTTTTGTAAATTTTCTTAAGAACAGATATATGTATTTTACTAGCTCCATTGCACTAGAGCAGTTTAACTCAGTGACTTGTGAAATTTATTATCTCCAGGCCGTTGGTGTTGAGAACTATCAATTTTTTTTAAAAAAAATCAAACTTTCTGGCTGTCAGAGTGCAGGACTTGAAGTTACATTGATGATTCCAAAAGCTGACCCTTAAAAAAATTTTTTTAACCCAAAGAAAATAGTGTAAATTGTTAACAATAAGCCCAAATTAGTGTGTTAATTTAGGATTAAGTACTGAGATTTTATGATTTATTTTCAGCTTAGCCTCACGTGACTTGCAGGGAGAGGTTTGATCTATGATTTCTCCAGGTTAAATGGATATTTTAGATCTTTCCTTTTTTCTTTTTCTTTTTTAAGTTAGTTGAATCATTTTACCACACAGTATATTCTGCATGTATAGCTGGTAAAACATATATTGCCCTATATTATAAATATAATGTACACATATTACTTTAAATATAAGCTATTTAAAGAAAGTTCATAGTTGTTTTTACCTGCTTTTTAACTCCAAGTCAGGCTTCTTTTCTTTCAGAGAGAAATGCATGCTCTAACTTTACTTGCAAATGTTTGTAGTTTGCAGATCTTTGTTGATGTTAACTCTAATTGTTAGGTAGACTTCTATGTTACCTGGAAAATTTTGGACACAAATTTAAATAAATCTGTGAAGTCTGTATATTAGGTGGCTTGACTGAATTTTTTCCTGTGATTGAATATGGGCTGCATTTTGAAAAGCCACATTTGCCTTTATGCTGGATTAAAAAATTACAATGCATAGGACTTTTCCTTTATATGTTATAACTTTTCTTAGCATTTTATATGTTATCACTTTGTGATTTTAAACCATAATTCAGTTAAATAGAGTTATAACGTGAGGAATAGATTGGTCTTTATAAAACCAGGGGAAAATTGGAATTTTCTTGTGAGTAAACATACTTTGCTGCCAGAATTCAGTATAATGTACCACATTCTGTTTTCATACTAGTAAATCTTAATATAGTCAAATGTCCTTAGGATCCATATTGTAAACAACATTGAAAACTGCTTATGTTTTAAGGAGTGGTTATTTTTAAACATGTGACTTCTGTTTTAATGTAAGAATCAAAGGTGTACATAAAAATAGATTTGCCAATGTGCAACTTAAAGTCGAAAATCCAAGAACTTAGAAACACTGTTTTTTTTTTTTTTCCAGTGAGATGAAACACATGGGGAACTCAATCAATAAAAAAAGTAGTTAAGACATTTTATTCTCAGCATTGCTTCTGTGTTGAGTATGTGATTGATTATTTTTACATCTTGTTAAAATTCCATTCTGTCCAGTGGGATTTCAGTTTGTATACTTTTTAAATGTCAGTTTTTCTTTCTTTTGCATTCTGTGATTATTCCATACCTGCAAACACACTAGTGTTCGCATATCCAACACATGTAGAAGTGAGTTTATTAGATGCCATCCCAAAGGTAGAAACTATGTTATCTTAAATTGGCTATCAAAATCCATCACCCATCAGATTACCTTCAAAACAGTACATAGTTCTAAGAGTCTGTGAAAGAGCTTGTTTTCACTTAATTGACAAGAAACAGTATTAAGAATCTTTAAAATTTCAGACTGATGGAAAAATCAAGTTGACACTCTTTCCATTCCTAATATTTTTAAAATTTTTAATGATTAATTTAATATCTTTTTATATGGACTTGTTACTTTTGCTGGATTCAGAGGAAATCTTATCATTCATGTGGTGATTCTCTTAAAGCATCTTAGCAGGCTGATGTCTGTCCACTCATCCAAAGAGATTTATTCTCAACCCTGTTTTCACACTTCTACTATCTGTCAAGAAGCCTTGCATGAGATAATGATGGGTCTCCCACCTGAAGTGAGCTGCTTCTCAGTTCCTAGTAACATAAAGAACAGGAAGTGATATCGCTAGAGGCTGGGGGGTGGGACGACCAACAGGCACTAGAGCTTTGCTCTGGACCCTGTCCTCACTGTCAAGTTGATGAACAACAGACCTAGTTTTTTACTTACATACTGTTACTGTGAACAAGCCAGGTATCCCACTCTGAACTCACATCATGGCCTACAGTTTTCCACATGCAGAACCCACAAATTCATCATCCCATCAAGAATCCCTCAAAGAAACAGGCTCAGTCTCTACGGTTACCAGTAGAGACCTTATCTGGAAGCTCCGCTCTTCAGCCTCCTCACCTGCAAATACTTGGGTACAAGGAAGCACACAAAGTAACCAGGATACTTGTGCAGGTGCTGAGCACCAGCCTCTAGTATCTATATGCTAGATGTCACCTGATGCTGCCCAGACTATCACTGTGTCTGAATCTCCACCATCCAGCTGTATTTTAGGTCAGTTCTTCATAACTAAGGTTGGAAGCTGGATGATGTGTGGTGGTATTGTGTTCCCCAAAATATTGTGCACGCTAATAAACTTATCTGGGGTCAGAGACAGAATAGCCACAATATTAAACATAGAGGATAGGCAGTGGTAGCACACGCCTTTAATCCTAGCATTCCAGAGGCAGAAATCCATGTGTTCAAGGATACAGCCAAGCATGGTGACTCACACCTTTAATCCTAGAAAATGAGCCTTTAATCCCAGGGAGTGGTGGTAGAAAGCAGAAAGGTATATAAGGCGCAAGGACCAGAAACTAGAAGCTTTTTAGCTGTTTAAGCTTCAGGCTTTTGAGCAGCAGTTAAGCTGAGAGCCATTGGGATGAGGACACAGAAGCTTCCAGTCTGAGGAAACAGGACCAGCTGAGGAACTGTAGAGGTGAGGAAGCTGTGGCTTGTTCTGCTTCTCTGATCTTCCAGCATTCACCCCAATACCTGGCTCCAGGTTTGTTTTTATTAATAAATACCTTTAAGATTCATGCTACAATGATGGAACTTCAGGTTCATGACAGCTCCTTACTCTATGAAAATCCATCATGCCCATGTCAGTTTCCAACCTGTCAAAGATTCTGAGCAACATTTTTTGTGTGTGTGTCCTAGAGAATATGACTTGGAGCTCACCATTGGGCTGATGAGAGAACATATACAGCCATGTCTGGTGAATCTTTGTTTCCAAGCTCCAACATGCCATCAAAATGGAAGGCAATCCATTTTGTTAGGAGTAGGCACAGAGACACTACTTTATGCAATTTCTAACATCGAGATTTGTAAATGGAAGTTTTCTTCTGTCCCATCTGACCTGCAGCAGCTTATGAAATAATCACTCAGAGGCTTAATATTAATTACAAACTTTTTGGTCTACGGCTCAGGCTTATTGCTAGCTAGCTATTACATCTTAAATTAACCCATTTCTATTAATTGGTGTACCGCCGCTTTACCTATATTCTATTACATCTTGCTCCCCTCAGCGGCTTGCAGTGTCTCCCCTGACTCTGCCTTCCTCCTCCCTGTATCTTTCCTTGGATTTCCTGCCTGGCTGTAGCTTGAACCTTAAAGAGTCTTATTAATAAAATCAAACCTGAGGCCAGTTATTGGGGTGAATACTGGAAGGTCAGAGAGGTAGAACAAGCCACAGCTATCTCACCTTGCCAGTTCCTCAGCTGGTCCTGTTTCCTCAGACTGGAAGCCTCTGAGTCCTCATCCAGAATGAATCTCGGCTGAACTGCTGCAAGAAGCCTAAATGCTTAACCAGCCAAATGCTTACCCAGGCCAAAATGCTTCTAGTTTCTGGTCCTCACGCCTTATATACCTTTCTGCTTTCTACCATCACTCCCTGGGATTAAAGGCTCGCTTTCTGGGATTAAAGGCGTGTGTCACCATGCCTGGCTGTTTCCAATGTGGCCTTGAACTCACAGAGATCCAGAGGGATTTCTACCTCTGAAATGCTAGGATTAAAGGTGTGAGTGCCAACATTTTCTAGCCTAAGTATCTAGTGGCTTTTCTGTTCTCTGACCCCAGATAAGTTTATTGGGGTACACAATGTTTTGGGGAATACAATACCACCACACCTGGCTATAACCTGTCTTGCCATAGGCCAGAGCAGCTTCTTTATTAACCAGTGATTGCAACATATATTCACAGTGTACAGAAAGACCATCCCACAGCATAGATTCATCTTTATTAAAATAATAAATGATAGAAATAATAAAATAAGAACACTGTCTGCTCTTATATTTAGAGGACCTGGGTTCCATTTCCAGCACCTGCATGGTAGTTCACAACTGACTGTAACTCCAATTCCTGGATATCTGATACCCTTGTCTGGCCTCTGCATTCACTGTGTGCACAAGACATACATGCAGGCAAAATAAAAATAAAACCTCAAAAAATTAAAATAATAAAGTAGTTGTAAAATTTAACCATTATTGTATATATTTAAGACTGACAATGTATTTCATACACACCTATAAAATGATATTCACAATTGACATGATTGTGCCATATCAGAAACATAGACAAACGTATTGTGTCTTTACAGTGTCAGAATTTATTTAATAACAGTAAATTCACAAGATATAGCAGTTTCAATGAAAGCAACTGTGAACTATTCCTGCTTTCCTTGGTAATCTTGGTTGACATGAATGTTTCCTGTTTTTTTTGTTTTTTGGGTTTGTTTTTTTTTAAGAACTTATTCTCAAATCGCACATTACGAGACATTTTCCCAATTGGGGTTCCTCTTCCCAGATAACTAACTTGTGTAAAATTAACCAAAAACAAACAAACAAACAAACAAAAAACCGAACAAACAAACAAAAAACAGGATTCACCACACCCCATCCGCGGTAGGTTATCGAATGACTGCAGAGGTAAGGCATTTCAAAGAGGTGTGAAAAGCCAGAGCTGGGAAATGTAAAGAAGTCTATAGGAATGATATAAAAGAACGAGCTGGAGACCTGTGTAGAGGAGCTGCTGGTATTGTAGGTCAGAGTTGATCTTTAGAGTTGAACCTAGCTCTATAAGTGAAATGGCAGAACTGGAACCAGATGAAGAAATGGTCAGATGGAGGGATAGCAAGCCCAGATAGGCAGGTGATCCGTATGTTAGGCAGACAGCAGTTGACAGGTAGTATCAACACTGGAGCCTGAACCAACGTAAAGTCCCTGGGACATTTGGTTAGTCTCTGCCTGTCAGTCCCGGCTCAGAAGATTGCGGAGCAGCCGGTCCTGCACCACTGTGATGAGACCCTCCTGGGACGTGTCAACGGCTCGGAGTGCGGTAATATCCTCTCATCACCCGGTACCTCCGTTCAACCCTCAGCCCCCGGGTACTTCCGGGCTGCCAGTTGCCAGCCTTATCTATCCTGTCATCTTAGCCTGTGTTCCAGGCAGGGAGATCCGTGCGCACGCGCAGGCACTATACGGAAGGCTGGGAGTGCAGACAGCACTCTATTGGCGGAATGAGGAAGGATTATCTGCGTTGACCAATGGCATGTGCGAGGCTACCCGCCGCAGTGCCTTCTGGGAACGTGCCAATGACCGCTTCGATTGGACGTCTGCGGCCGCGGAAGCTCCAGACTTTAAGAACCTACAAGTTGAAGCTGGAGCAATGCTGCTTTTCTGTCCGAGCTGTGGAAACGGACTGATTGTGGAGGAGGGACAGCGTTGTCATCGCTTCGCCTGCAACACTTGCCCCTACGTGCATAATATCACACGCAAGGTGAGTTCCAGCGGTGAGTGTCTCCTCCGCTGTCCGGGAGGCACGGAGCCAGCGGCCGCGCGCTCAGACTTTCCTGCCGGCGGTATGTTTTTTTTTTTTTTTTTGCACTCGCTGCGGAGGTACCCCTAGTTCAGCAGTTGCTAATACAGTGGCGTCGCTCCGGCGAAATCCAAGCCATTGTTTTGGTCACGACAGAGATTTCTGCCTCTGTCTCTCTGCTGCCCGTTTTGTGACACTCAAAAAAGTTGCGAGAATTTCCATTCATACCTCTAGGCTGAACCACGCTTTTAAAACCTACAGTCCCCTCATACTGTCTCAGACGTGCCAGGTTCCATTCCTCTTATCACCTTCTCTGATCTCAGATCTTCAATGTTCTTTTTGCAGCTCTTTTTGCTCTCAGAACTTGTCTCTATTCTGGAGGACCTTCACCGTGCACGCAGTGCTGTTAGGTCCTTCACGTTCCTTTTGCCTGAGTCTTTCTTTCCTGAGTAACTATTTATTTGGCGTTCTCTCTCTCTCTCTCTCTCTCTCTCTCTCTCTCTCTCTCTCTCTCTCTCGTCTTCCTTTTCCTTTATCTCTCCCTCTCCTCTTTTAAAATAATGACTACCCTATTTAACTTCCAGCCCTTTTGGCTGTTGGTACATGTCTATAATTCTATCACTTAGAGAGACCGCCGCAGAAGAATAAGTTCAAGGCTCACCTGGGCTGCACAGCATATATATGAAAATTAAGTAAACAAAGAAACTAAAACCCAGCTCTCCCAGTTTATCCTCATTCCTTTTATCTTTTCCCAGGATTCATTGTCTTCTAATATATGCCATTTTTGTGCTCTGTGTGTGTGTGTGTTGCTTGTGTTGGAACCCAGAGAGCTCTTGGTTTTTTTGTCCACCTTTCAGTTCTTGTTCCGCCTTACCTCAGTGTCCTGAATTCTGTGATTGCAAATGTGTATCACCAGGCCTTGGTGACACCTCATTCTTAATGTTTGCACCTTAGAGCTGTATGGTAGGAGTTTAGAGTCTGGATTTTTGATAAGATGAATGGTGGCATAATTTTGAAATTTGAGGAATGACTGATAAACTTAGGAAAGCAACCAAATATGTCCCGGGGAATGCTGGGATACCCAGATAAATGGTGCTGTTAGGCTTGTTTTGTCTGTCTTTCATGTTAGATTATTAGGTGTCTTAGAGGTATGAGCGAAGTGCAGGGTTTAAGTCAGCTATCTTTTCTTCCTTGTCTGTCTGGTGTTTCCTCCACTCTCTAAGGGTCTCTGACATTGAACCTCCGTGCTGTTTTGGGAGCATCCCAGTCATAAAACCCCTCCATTTTAATGGCTCTTGCTGCTCTTTGAAGAAGATAAATTTTGTATCCATTTATTGAGTAGAGGAAATACTGGAAGGAAGTTATTGTTTGGTGGCCCACCTTTAAAACTATATGATTACTTGAAATCTGATGGCTTGTTTTTGTTAGGTAACAAACCGAAAGTATCCAAAGCTGAAAGAAGTGGATGATGTGCTTGGTGGAGCAGCTGCCTGGGAGAATGTGGACTCTACTGCAGGTGAAAATTTTCCCATTACAGAGCCACTGACTCAACCCTGTTTATTATTACTTATTGTTGTATTTGATAATAATAAAATTATTTATTATAATGTAACCTTGTATATTATTAGAACCAGTGAGATGGCTCAGCAGGTAAAAGTACTTGTTCCCAAACCTGTTCATCTTAGTTTGATCATTGGAGCCCAGATAGTATAAGGAGACAGCTAACTCTTGAAAATTGTTTTCCAGCCCCCATCCCAAGTAAGTATAAAAGAATTTAAGTAAATATAAATAATAAGTTAATGACAAATAGCTTGTGTTTGCCAGTACAGGAATTTTTTGTTTTGTTTTGTTTTGTTTTTTGAGACAGGGTTTCTCCGTGTAGTTTTAGTGCCTGTCCTGGATCTCAATCTGTCGACCAGGCTGGCCTCAACCTCACAGAGATCCACCTAGCTCTGCCTCCCGAGTTCTGGGATTAAAGGTGTGCCTCACCACCACCCGGCAGGAAATATTTTGATGATACATTTTAGTCACAGTATAGTCATTGTTTAAGCAAGGGTAAACTTTTTTGTTTGTTTGATTTTGTTTTTTTGAGACAGGGTTTCTCTGTGTAGCCCTGGGTGTCCTGGAACACTCTCTGTAGACCATACTGGCCTCGAACTCAGAGATCCATCTATCTGCCTGCCATGTGCTAGATTTAAAGGCATGTGCACCACCGCCCAGCCATATTAAAAACTTTTAGAGCAGATTCTTTGAAGGATTAAATATACTGAAAGGAGAATCATTATACTGATACATGCTCTGTTGTTTTATTTAGATTCTCCAGGTCGGATATGAACAAGTATAATTAAAAATCTGGTACATACTCTCTTTTTGAAGCAAACTTAGGGTTTATTACAAAAAAGTTTCAATGTTGATTTAAATTTAAATATTAATGGTTGTTGAGAGAGAGAGAGAGAGAGGGGATATGTAAGAGGATAGTCATCCATGCTCTAGTGGGGGTGCAGGCTTCTCAAGAGAATTCTGTTCTATGTATTTTCAAATACTAATATTGAAAAAATGATGAGCCCTGGTCTTTTTTATTCTATATGGATTTAAAAAATTTATTACTGGAGGTGAAGTATGGTGGCTCAAGCTTGCAATCCTAGTACTCTCAAGATGGAGGCAGAAGACTCAATGCTTATCTTGGCTCCATGAGACCCTTTCTCAATCAGTCTGTCAACTAATAAATAGTTGTGAGAATAGAGAGATGGTTTAGTGGTTAAGAGCACTGGCTAGTCTTCCAAAGGACCTGGGTTTCCATCCCAGCACTCATATGGCAGCACCGACCTTCTGTACTTCTAATTTCAGGTGATCCAGTGTCCTCTACTGGCATCCAAGGGTACTGCATGAACATGGTTCACAAAATACCTACGGGCAAAACATACACATAAAATAATTTTTAAAAAATTAAAAGATTTATGTTAATAGACTTAAATGTGATAATGGAAAGAAAGAAGAGAGCCCTAAATGTGACCTGTTTGAGAAGGAAGAGCATATGTGTGATTAGCAGTCTTTTTCTCTATAGCAGATATAGATCTTCTATGTTAAAAGTTAGGATTAGCTAGGTACAGTAGTAGAACTTGAGAGGTGGAGAGGAGGAGAGAATCAGGAGTTCAAGGTCATCTTGGCTACCTAGTGACTTTGAGGCCAGCCCCAAGAACTTGTTTTATAAAAGCAAATAACAAAAGCCTTGAAAATGGAAAATGAGTAGAGGCTTAATTTAAAAAAAAAAAATCTATTTGTTTATTTTTGAGATAGAATCTTGCTATGTAGCCCAGGCTGGCCTTGTAGCAAGCCTCTTGTCTCAGTCTCTTAAGTGCTACTTAAGTTCTACCACACTGGGCAGGCAGGCATTTTTGTTATAGTCCCACGAAACAGACTATAATAGACCCTTCCCATGCTATGCTTCCAGCCAGTTTTCAATAAAATTTGAGAAGGAAAGTGGGACCAGGGAGGTGCTTTCAAAGTCACAGGTCTCTCCAATCCCGTTAACGGTATTTGTGTAATGTGGATGACTTGTTTTTCTCTTTGTCAGAGCCATGTCCAAAATGTGAACATCCCCGTGCCTACTTCATGCAGCTTCAGACCCGTTCTGCAGATGAGCCAATGACCACCTTCTACAAGTGCTGCAATGCTCAATGTGGACATCGCTGGAGAGACTGAGAGCAGGACTTGCCCAGATGAAAGCATGGATTTTGTGTGCTGAAGGTCTTTGCTGTATGATAGGAAGCTGACTCTTCTGTGGTGGAGGGCCAGTGTGAAACAGGCCATCTGCAAGTCAGCAGATAAAGTCCTTAATGCACAAGGGCTTCAGGTCCTGTTCCTTCATCCTTTGTATATAGTGGGTAGTTGATATTTCCTTACTACCATTAGTATTAGAAACTTAGTTTATAACCAAGGATAATATTGAACCTCCTATTCTTCCTGCCTCTGTCTCTAAAGTGTTAGGATGATAGGCATGTGAACCATGTTCATTTCATGCAGTGCTGGGAATTGAACTCTGAGCCTCATGCATGCTAGACAAGTACTCTGTCAACTAAGCCACTTAATTTTTAAAATAATTTTTATTTTTTTCTCTCTAGAGAAATTATAAAAATACCCATAAAATAATTGAAAAGCACTTTAAAATTCAGGACTGACATGATACATCTTTTATGATTAACAACTAAACAAGCTGTTCTGTGATTTGGATTTTCTGGATGATGTTGATGGGAATTTAAAAGTAACCAAAAATATTTTCTATTTCCAGCTAGGGATAAAGGTCCACAACAGAGTCTGTGCCTAGCATGTACAAAGGTCTGTGTTTGAACCCCATTCAAAAACCTATTAAAACCTCAATACATTTAGAAAAGTTACTTATTTGTTGAAACCACTAGGGAGATTACTGTATAGTGGACATATTTTTCTATGTTGGAAGCTCTGGTCCCTTCCATGCAACTGGACAGTCATATACATGATAAAGAATGCAGATAGTAAGGAGATCTAAAATCACATTATCCTCCTATGAACATAGCAGATCTAATGTTTTCAAAGTCCTTAAATAATGGTATGGATGAGTAATTCACAAACAAGAGCTGACTTTGAAACCTTTGATCTGTGGTTGTTTTCAAGCCTTTGGGACTTTGTTGATTATCTCCTTTCACTAACTGTTACAGAGGAGAGCCACATAGTCTTCTTTGAATAAAGATGAATTTGAGTATTAGATCACTTGCCTAGCATATGACAAATTCTGTGCTCAATCTTGGTACTGGATGACAGTGGTGTGGGAGAGAATGATAATTTTTACTGTTGGTGAGGGTTAGGACATTCTCCCATTGCTGGTGAGAATAGAAGTCAGTACAATAGTTTCTCAGGGCAGTAAGGTAATGTGTATCAGTATTTTAAAATGCTACCCAAGGGTGACACAAATGTGCAGTGTTATCACTTGAGAGGCAGAAGCAGGAGTATTGGGAGGTCCAGGCTGTCAGTGGCAGCAGAAGTTGGAAGAGAAGATACAGCTCCGTGCTGCCTGTCTCGGCCCACATTCTTTCTGTGAATTTTTGTCAGTGATGCTGGGATTCTGGACTATGCCACAGAAAAGAATTTCGGAACAACTAGGTATGAAGTAAGTCAAGTGTCTTCATGATGACCATGTTTATGATTTTGGTGGTTTTTTTAAGAGGTTCAGTAAACCTCCACCCCACCGCTCCTTTTTCCTGTTTGTTAAATGAGATCATAGGATAATTCCATAGGTAACAAAGGTTCAAGCAGTTCTTAATATACCAGGTTACAAGGGGTTAAGACATGGCTTTTGACTGTCAACAAAGAAACCTTACTGTCTCTGAGTTTGAGGCTTACAACTGGGAAAAGTCAAACTCAAGGTCATCTTGTTAGTGTGGTTCGTCAATGTTAACATTCTCAATTGAAATCTCTATATATATAAAAAAAGAAATCTCTATATAAAATGACTATTGACTCTGTAGGCAAACTTCATTAATTTGGAATTCACAACTCTTAGCTGGAGTTTTCACAACCAGACTCAATTTGCCCCGTTTTAAAAAAATTATTGCATGTGTATGTGGTAGGGGGTAGTGGTGGATACATGTCACAACACTCACATGGATGTCAGAAGGCAACTTTGTGGAGTTGGTTATCTATTTCTTTATGTTGGTTCTTACCCACTTATTTCATTTTCCCAGCCCTCCTCTGCTACATAATGAGATTTTGTCTCAAAAACCCAAACTAAATGACAATTTTGTCTATAAATCAAATTATCACCAAAGAAAGAATATTGGAAGCAGAAAAGAAAAATGACCTTTATCATACAAGGATCCATAATAAAGACTACCAACAGATTTTATAGAAGAAAAATTTTGTACAGTAAAAGTCAGTGAGCTGACATGTTGAGAGTACTGATTGAAAAACTGGAAAACTGCACAAGTAAGAGAGAGAATAAAAAAAAACCACAGGGAGGCTGGAGAGATGGTTCAGAGGGCAATAGCAGCATACTCTTGAGTAGGACCTGGATTCAGTTCACAGCATCCACAGGGAGTCTTGCAACTATATATAACTCCAGTTTAAAGGTATCTAGCTGGGCAGTGGTGGTGTACGCCTTTAATCCCAGCACTTGGGAGGCAGAGCCAGGTGGATCTTTGTGAGTTTGAGGCCAGCCTGGGCTACCAAGTGAGTTCCAGGAAAGGCGCAAAGCTACACAGAGAAACCCTGTCTTGGAAAACAAAACAAAACAAAACAAAACAAAAAAACCCAACAACAACAACAAAAGGTATCTAGACCCCTCTTCTGACTTCCATGGACACTGGACACATAAATACATTCAAGCAAGACACATAAGGAGAAATATCTTTTTTAAAAATCTGGGCAAAATACATAAAGAGATACAACTTTAAAAAAAAAATCTGGCCGGGCGGTGGTGGCACACGCCTTTAATCCCAGCACTCGGGAGGCAGAGCCAGGCGGATCTCTGTGAGTTCGAGGCCAGCCTGGACTACCAAGTGAGTCACAGGAAAGGCGCAAAGCTACACAGAGAAACCCTGTCTTGAAAAAAAACAAAACAAAACAAAAATCTGGATACAGTGTTGCTGCATAGTTAGAATGAGAAGGTAATTATGAAACGTCTACACATCACTGGCCCCCAGAGAGCTTTATTCAGGCAAAACTGTGAAATCAGTGGATAAAGTACTCGTTGCAAATTCATGAGGAACCAAGTTCATATAACTGGCATGTAAAGGCTCAGGATTAGAATTAATGTTAGGGTTTTGGAGTTAGGGTCAGAGATGGGGGTTACGGTCAGGATTAGGAGAGTTAGGCTTAGGGAGTTAAAGTTAGTGGGGTTCGGATTAGGGTTTACGGTTAGGCTTAAATTAGGGTTGCTCAGGGTTAGAGGTTAGATTTAAATTAAACTGATATTAACACTTGATACATTTACTATGACAATATAATGGTTAGGGTACATACAGAGGTAGGGTCAGGATTAGCGGGTTAGGTTAGACAGTTTAGGGTTAGGGTTTAGGGTTAGGGGTTAGGGTTAGGGGTTAGGGTTAGTGTAGATATAACCAACTGTCTTATTAAATAAGAAACACAGAGCCGATTCAGAGAAGAAAGCCAAGAGGTCAGAGCTAAGAGCCTCACCCTTCCTACTTCAGCGATCCTCTTCAGCCAAGAGAGCTCTCCGAAAAGGGCCTGCTTCCTGTGTGTATGTCTTTATATAGTCTAGCTGTTCTGCCTTCTCATTGGTTGTAAACCCAAACACGTGACTGCCTCGTCACTGCCTGAATGTACCGCCCTCCAGGTCCTTAAAGGCGTGCGCCACCACCGCCATGCACTTGCTATGGCTCTAATAACTCTGACCCCCAGACAACTTTATTTATTAACATACAATTAAAATCACATTTCAGTACAATTAAAATACCACCACATTTCCCCTTTTCTATTTTAATAAAAAGAAAAAAAAGAAAAAGGTTATAACTAACAAAAGAAAAACTATATACAAAAGTACAATAACTATATAAAATATATACAAGTAATAAATGTCTAAACAATGTCTAGTCCATTTGTATTTGACAAATTCAGAGAAAATAATTTCATTATCTATCCTATTTTGTTCAGTCCAAAATGTATCTAATTCACTTTCTATCCTAATTAATCTTCAACTATAACTAACTAACCTTCAACTATAACTAACTAAACTTCAACTCCCTCAGAGACCCAAGAAGGAAATAATATTAGCTAACAAAAATAAAAACAGAAAGTGCATGCAAGCAACTTCCAAAAAATTTGTGAGTTGACAGAAACAGCCAGCTGCCTGGACAGTAACCTGAGGTTTCTTTGCAATGCTGGGGCATCGTCTTCAGCCTATAGACTTAGCATATCTGACAGACTCATTTGTGAAGTAGGATGTACACAAGGTCAACAGTTCAACCTCACATTGGGTGAGGGCAGTCCATGTACCAGAAACACCTGAATTCCACTAGTGTCATGTCATGATTCAGGATTTTAAATTCTGGAAATTGTTGATGGTTTTTTAATTCAACTGTCCATTCTTCTTGGCTGTGTATATATGGCTTCATCTCAGCATCCCGTTCTTCTCCACATCCCTCTATCAAATGCCAGTCTACTATTGCGAGGCATGAGCTTAGTTACTCTTCAAGAATAACTGTTTCAGCTGCTGTTCCATTGCACATCAGAAGCCATCGGCCTACTGCCTGTTCAGCTGCCTTAGAAGAAAAGGGCACTGTACCTTTTCCGAATTGCGAAGGCCACTTCAGGGATGGTGCCATATTGTCCTGGCCTCAGAAGATGCCTTTTGATAAAGCCATAACCACACTTGTTTTGGCAAGAATCAGTAGTCCTTTGTTTCATGTCCTGTCTGTCCATTTTGTCCTGTTGATTCGAGGATACTTTGTTGTCCAGTGGCTAACTTTTGCCACAATGAAAGTTAACTCCATATGCAGTTTCTTCAATGCCCATATTTTCTCTGAAGTAGATTGGTACTGCCAGGAGCCGACATGTCTCATAGTCATAACAAAAAAGAAAAATTTTCTAAGTTATTAACACATTTTAAATGCCATATTCTGTAGATCTCTGAAGGGTTTGAAGATGACCTGTCTAAAATATATCTGCTCAATTTTTAAAACATATCTAATATGACTACAAGTTCTATTGTAATGTCTAACTACTAACTTTCATTTCTTTATATCCTAATAGTTGGTAATAATAACATTCAAGGATCAGAAAATTGCATTGTTAAATGAACGGGATAAGTACAATTAAAAATATACATATAGCATTTTCTAACAATATCAATTTCAATATATATAATTTGTATACAATATAAAACAATCCAATCCATTGTAAAGTATTTAAAACTAGTAATTGTCTTTTTCTTCTTCTTTCTTTCTTTCTCTCTTTTTTTTTAAACAAGAACCTTAAATCTAATCTCCTTTGCTTAGCCTTTTTCCTAACCCTTGACAACAACTTGTAACCAAACTCCTAAACAGTGAAAATTATCCCAGACCCCAAACCCATTAAAAAGACCAAAAAACCACCCGCCCCACACCACCTCTTTGGGAATTTGGGCGTCGTATTCTTAAAATTGCTTCCTGCTGGGTAGGGGCGAAGGTATCTTTATCCTGAAAGAAAAATTTTAGGATAATTGTCAAATTCTAGGAAAGGTAACTATATCCTTCATTATCCAGTCTGTGTATAATGCCAAAGTTCAGGGTTTATCTCAAGTCCTTATTCAAGTAGTCTTTGAGACTGGATCATCTCAGCTAGTCATCTCAAAATTGCTCTGAGCACCTTGTAGTTCAAAGCTGATCTGTAGATGATGTTTGTCAGCTTAATGATGTTATTATTGTCCACGTGGAATTGTTATTGTTGTGGGGCCCCAACTTCTTCCTGGAGACTTCAGTTGATGTTAGGCCTGGCCGTGATTTCCTGCAGAAAACTGATAAGAGACTCGAACACAAAGACATATATATGCAGCTAATTGAAGCCTTTTTTCTAGAATTAATTAGTACTCTATATGACCATTCATATCTTAAAGTTTAAAATGTATATGTAACTATATATCTATATATATTAATCTTGTAAATTTTGATATAAAATTTATACTTTAAGAAAAGTTTTAAAGAATCAGAATAGAATCAAAGAGTTGAGATTAGTAATAGACTAGTCCCTTAATTAATTTGGCTTTTCTCCTGTCC